CCAAGTTCATCAAAATCCAATGAGTGATTGTTTAGATATCAGTGGAACAGTCATGAAACCACTAAAAAATAGATAATTATCATGCAAATTAGGTAATTAATATGCACAGATGTTTACCAAAAATTAATCAAATCTTCGCATATGTTCAGAGCATATATTTACCAAGTTTCATCAAAATCCAATGAGTGGTTCTTTAGATATCAGTGGAACAGTCATAGAACAGCTAAAAATTAGCTAATTATCATGCAAATTAGGTAATTAACGAGCATGGATTTTTACCAAAACCTAATCAAATCTGCGCATTGGCCCAGAGCATCTATGCACCAAGTTTCATCAAAAACCGATGTATGGTTCTTGAGATAGCAGTGGAACAGTCGGACACACATACACACACACACACATACACACATACACACATACACACATACACACACACATACAGACACACTAACTGCAAAGACTCCCATTTTGTGCTTCGCACATGGGAGTCAATTAAACAGGTCTGTGCATTGTTCCATATCATCTATGTAACAAATTTCATTGAAATGTGATGATTAGTATTTGAGATATCAGTAGAAAGGTAAAAACCTGACTAATTATTATTCAAATTAGGTAGTAATTATTACGTAGAGATCTAATCAGGTTCGAGTACCACGTTCGATTGATATCTGACCAACAGTTCTTGAGATACTGGTGGATAGACATACCGGTACATACAAACACACAGACAGGGTAATTGCAAACACCCATTTTCAATAAAAATTCACAAGAATCCACACTCAATGTTTTCAAGTAATACAGTCAAACATTTAACACAGTTTGTTCTAAATTGCAGAGACTGTGTATATATTATTCAGAGTGCAGCGATATACTATGCAGTCCAAGAAAATATTGAATTGAAGTTTTTTTTGCAGATATCTTCAAAACCTAATCAAAAGATTTTCCATACTCGTGTATAGAATTTATAAGCTACCTTTCACAGAATTTTTTGTAATAAATACTTTTTCAATCCCAAAGCAGTTGGTACCAAAAATGGGTCACATTATGTCAGGAGGATTCCAGAATAAATTACTATAAAAGAGGCAGTGGCGCGAAATAAAAGTACACATGAGTCAAAGGTCACAGGAGTGCAGAGGCATGGGGGATGGAAATCAAGTTGAAGCCTGATTGTAAAAAGGCCAGTAAGGTCATCACTGATCCATGTTAGAGATGATGTGACCCAAAATACTTTTTTAATATCCCTCTGGCTACTTTTCAAGACCTGGCTTCTTGCTCTTGTCCTAGTGCAGTAAGCAGCACACCCATAGGCGTTCTCTTCAATCCAAATGATTTTGCTCCATAACTCACTTTGTTCTTAATATTTCGAAGTTTGAATGAAGCATGCAGGAAAATAACTGAAAAAAAAAAAAAAAAAACCATGGTAGTCAAATGAATATTATATCATACCAGCATTTTAATTGCTTGAATTTATTGCTCTGACTGGGTGAAAACATGTGTTTTAATTATGTCAGCTGTGGGTTTGCTTGGTGATATACCATAGTTTTTCGAGTTGAAAAGAAAGACCC